CCCGGAGGAATCTCGGCGGGGGGGAGGAGCCGGCGTTTCCCGCTGGTCCGGGCCTGGTGCCGCTCTGCGGCCGGGGGCAGGGCAGGGCCGCGCTCCAGCGGGACGTGCCCGGGTGACTCTCGGGCAGGTGGGGGGTAATCTGCTGCAACGCGATGTTCTCTCCTGCATTCCCCGGCTGGGAGGTAACTTACAGCCTGCAACAAGCTTCTTGATAGTCCTGTGAGAAATATGTATTGGCAGGAGGGGAGCGCTGAGTTACCTCATTTCTCCTGCTGTTCTGCTCAGCTGTCCTGTCCGTTTGTGCTTTTAATCCTTATTGCAGGTAACTGCTTTTGCAAGATCCCTTGAATCCGCAGTAAGGAATCTTAGAGGCTACTGAGTGAGACTAGGCTGTATGAAAACTCCCAGAGGAAATGCCAGTTGAGATGGCTCAAGATCTGGAGGAAACTGCCTCATCCTCAGAGGAGGAGGAGGAAGAAGGAGAAGACGATGCTGAAGATGAGTAAGTAGGAAAAAAAAAAACCCAAAACCAAACCCTCTTAACTTTTTCTATCCCTGTGCTTCCTGCAGGATTTGCACTAATCTGGAAAGACAGTTGTATTCCTTACCCTCTTCCTACCTATTAAACAGAAGGTGGTTGGTTTGGGCCTCAATCCTGTGGGCAGGATACCTGCATTTGTAGCCTAAAAGACCACCATATTCACCAGGGTTGGAGGTGCAGCTCTTCCTTGGCTACTCTAATGTCTGTAGTTTTGTTGATCTCTTCCTGTCATGTTCCTAAACTGGGAATTTTCTTGATGATGTTTAAGAAAATGAAGGAAATGAATGTCCTTTATTTGTTTGTTTAGTTTTTTGTTTTATTTTAGTTTTTACTTTGCTGCAGAGAATGGAAATGTACTGTACACTAGATATGCAATGCTTTATATCCTTTTTTAAAAACTGTCTTGTGAGAACTCAGCTCCTAGAGTTCTTGTTACTTACATCTTTGTTTAGTAACTTATTTTATCTTTGCTTCTGAAGGAGTTGCTCCCTTATTCTTTCCCAGAGTGGAATCTCTTTTCAGTTTCAGCTGCACCCACTTTAATGTGCAGTGTCTTTGTGCACAGTGTGCATATACACCTACTTTAATGTGCAGTGCACACTTTAGTGTCCTGTTTGTTTTCTTTTGGGTCCATGCTGTGACTGAGTGCTCAGTTGCAAACTGTAGTGGCTTGAGGCATTTAGAGGAGTGTTGGCTCAGACAAGCCAGACCCTCATGGATGGAAGGGTCCAGAACTGCCTTCACCTCAAATGTAATCGTAACAGTGTGTCTGCATCAAGTGATCAAGGGTCATGCTGGGAATGAATGACTGTCACCTGGAGGTGACAGCCTTACTGCAAATCCTCAGGACAGGCTTAACATAAACTCCCCTCCTGTTGCCTCAGCTCATTTCCCACTTATGTAAGGCTCTGGCCTGTAGTATAAATTCTGGAAGCTTCTTGGGTCCCTTCTAATCTGGACAGCTAATTACACTCCAGTATTGGAATTTTTTTTATTATTATTTTTTTTTCCTTAGAAGTGATGGAAGCAGATGGGCGTGCTGTGAAGTTAATTTATCTGAGTGGTAATGGTAGTAACTTGTTTAGGAGGACCAGGTTTACACTTAAGAGTACTTACTTGTTCTAGCATGAGAAAGTTGCCCTTTTATCTCTGTTCCTGTGTTCTAGGTGTAGGAAGTGTTTTATCTTCTGTAGTTTCTCCAAACCTTTGGCAGACCATGATCTTGCAAATTCTACAGACTTATGCTTCTGTATATCTCTGCCAGTCTTTATGTTTCTTCCTGTCTGTGTCAATAAAGATGTGTCTCTCCAACCCCTCAGTCTCTGTTTTCTGTTAACTTTTCATGGTTCCATTTCCTTGCACAGTAAGTAATAAGGAGCCTGAGTGTTACTTGCTTAGGGAGTTGACTTTCTGTTTTCTTAGTTTTCTGACTTAGGTTTTCTTTCTGTTATCTTAGTATAAATATTAAATATCTTAAATATTTTTTTTGTGTGTCCTTAATTCTTCTGAGGAGATGATAGTTCCCAATGTAGTCTTGTTTTGGATGGAACTGATGACTGTATCTTGGAACCTGTAGTTTGAGTGGCTGGCTGGGGGCATTGTTGTTGAATTCTGGGCTTGCATTCCACTGCATCTGGCAAAAATTAAAAGGAACAACACGCAAGTTTATCTGTTGTGTTGAGCCATGCCTGTTCTAGTCTCTCAAACTCTGCATGAGTGCCTTTTTGGGCACTTCAGAGTCCAGGATTACAGCCTGCACTGATTTGCAGTTCTTAAGTTGGAGACTGGAACCTGCACTGTAAGGTCTAGTTGTGTGGATACCAGTAATTATGGTTCTGTTTTCAGGCTATAAATCCAGAGAACTGTAGCTGTGAAGATTCATGTGGTTTCTTTCAAATTAGACTCACTAAAATAAATACAAATTAAACAGAGCTCTGACTTAGACTGGCAAGACCAACCCAAAAAGATGATGATCTGGAAGATTCCCTTTATAGCTGAGTACCAAGGGTGCCAAGAGTGTGTGTGTGAGTCAGCACAGGCAGGGCACAGGAACAACCACAAAATCACAGCTGAAATGCAAAGAGTACATTTATTTTTGTTACCTCAACAAGCAGGGAATTTGTGAAGCAGCACCCAGGCAGAGGCACACAAGTGGAGACACAGACCCCGTGGAGCTCGGTCCTTGCCAGAGGACGGCCGGTCCCGCTGTTGGCGCCTGTTTGTCAGGGATTTGCGCAGGTGCAGTTTGCTGCTGCGCTTTGCTCTTTCCCGCACCAGGGCATGTTCGATAGGGTGCTGCTAAGCCTCTCATAGGCCTGTGCCATGGCAGTGCTGGCTTTACAGTTGGAATAGATGATCGAAATGGTATTTTCCAACCAAACTATTCTATAATTGATTCTATGAACACAGATGTTCTACTTGTCAAGCACACAAGGATAGACAACAATTACAATGATGTATGTATTTTTCTATGCCCCAGCTGCAGGTCACTTGAATGTGTTTACAATCCTCCTTGCCAGTCTTCCTATGTTTTCCCCACAGTGTATTTGCCTCTGTCCTACCCACAGGCTAGGTGGGCAAGCATGGAGAATTGCTGTGTCCTCGTGGTAAGTAACTGCTGTGTGTATGAGGCTCAGCAGTTGCTTATAGTGCCTATTTTTCCCTGTTACAGGGATCATCCGTGCATCAAGTGGACTGGTGGTGGCTGTAGGCGGATTCCTGTCTTGGTGTTTTATGCTGAAGCCATTCTGACCAACGACAGCTACCTCCGCCTAATTGGAGGTGAGTGCAGCTAGGTGCCAGCTTTTGGCCTGAAGGCATGTGGTGGAAGTCTCTTAGCTGGATATTCCCTCTCTTCGTGGTGGGGAAGAGGACATGGTAGGAAGGAAATTACAATCCTGTCTTGTCTCCCAGCACTGAGATGTTCCGAAACACTCGGTCAGTTGGTGCATGTTTATCGTGTCTTCGAGTTGGGACAAGTGTCTATATTTGTCCCTCCACTGGGTCCTGATGTGTTTTGAGTTGGAACTATCTGCTTGCAAACTGAACTTGGAGGCCATGCTAGAACTTATGACCAGAATATAAATTCACTGCTCTCTAGCTAGGAACTTAAAATCAATCATTACGTTGGGTGTTGAGAGTGTCTCACTGGGAAATAAAGGAGCCAGCCCCACAGTGGTAAGAACAGTAATAACCTGTAGTAACAAATCTCTGCATCTACAGCCTCACAACTGTGAGTAAGGACATAAGCAAAATGATTGCTGCTCTGGCAGCACTTGAGTCAAGAGACCAAACCTGTCTAGTGTCTAATAAGAGAGAGCCTCTAAATAAGAGGCAGAGTTGTTACAATCACGCTAGATTGTGAGTTAGTGCTTGTGGGTGTGTACAGCTTGAAGCTCATGCTGGATGTGCTGAGTTGGAGAAAAGCTAAAATCTACTCAGCTTCTTTTTGTGAAGATGCTGACACTTCTTTTATTCTCTTGCTTCTCCCTTTCTTGGGTAATTAGTGCCCTCATTTCTAATATCCTAACCAAGCAGAAATGCTTCTGGCTCATTAGGGTAGGGGGTGGAGAAGGTGATTTGTGTGTGGAAACCCCTAATACTTTTCATGTGAATTAAAAACATACTGGAATGGTGGCAGAAGCTGATGGGGATGGTAACTCGTATCCTAACTGGAGTGTGGAGCCTCTTCTGCTTTTTCTCAGGAGGGAGAGGCTTTTTGTCATCTAACAAGTCTACTGCTGAATAGTGCAACCTGTTAAACTTCCTTGAGCTTTGTCCAGTCCCAGATTATGATACTTCTTACTCTTTTCTTTAGATCTATTTTTATGGGTAGAATATATTTCCTGAGGTTTAATCTAACCCTCATCTTCCTATTCTTGGTTTGAACCAATTTGTAAAGTGCCTTTTCCTAGTGGTTCTGTATTCTAGCATTGCAGTTTCTGCCTCCCTCTTCTTTGGACTGTTTTATGGATTGCCACATCCTTTGGTATGACAACTGGCCTCTAGTCTTGCTACCGGCTTTCTGTTTATCTTATACCTGCAGTTCTGCTTACTGCTTTTGTTTTTATGACTTTCTGCTTGGATAGTGGTTTTCTCTTTTTCTTTCCTTGTCCTATTTACTTTGTTTTCTACTATTTTTTGCATTTATTTGTTGGAAGATCAATCAGTACAGGTCAGTGAGATGTGAATAAAATTTCACTGTGTTATTTTGGGTTTTCAAGGTTTAAAAAGTGATCATATAAGCTAGTCATGTCAGTGAGGGGCATATGGCATGAGTATTTTTAGCTAGGGATACCAGTCCTCAATAGAGAAGAAAGAGCTAAAATCATGTTTGGAGTGTTATAAAGCATTCTATATAAAGAGCTATGTAAAAAAAAATAATTAAAATCTGGGTGTTTGTTAGGATGTTCTGTGTTTTATTTTGATACAGTTGGTTCGGTGATGCAGCAATATTATACCTGGGGGTTGATGTAAGTTGTTTCAATGCCATCATTGGAGTTAATGCCCCGAAAGGCGGACAGGCGTTTCCTGTCACCCTTTGCCTGTCACGTGCTGTGGATTAAGTGCAGCTGTACTGTGCTGAGCCCTATGGTGTTCTTTTCTCTTCTTTGGTAGCACAGGTAACTTTGTTTTATTCTTCTAGGTGCACACTCTAATATCTTGTCTCTTGCCCTCTTAACAGAGCGCTACCACTTGTCCTATAAGATTGTGCGAACAGACAGCCGTCTGGTCCGAAGCATTCTGGCTGCCCATGGATTCCATGAGGTGACTGCAGTTTTGGTTTGGTTTGGTTTTCTTTAACTCTGTAAGGTTAGAACGATGAAGTTGCTTTGGACCCCCTTGAGTGTGGTTTGTTGGTGGTTTTTTTACATACTCTGCCAGTCAGACAGGATGTATGTCGTTAGTTTGCTCTCCCAAAGGAGTGTCCTTTAGCCATAAGCCTGCAAAATTAGGGGAAAAGGGTTGCTGGAGTTGTGTGTTTTTTCTCTTTTTGCTTTTAAAGCATTGTCTCACGCCCTTGGGAAGATCTGAAGGATTTAATCTCTCAGCTTTTACAAGCTCACAGAAGCACTGATGTAGTATTTCATGTTTCTCTTCTGGCGCCTGTCTTGCTCTAAAGAGTGCCCTATATGCAGCTAATGACAGTTTGAGAGATGTGTGTATTGGATTTTCTTCTGAATAACACCAAGTTAAGGAATTGGTCTCACAAGTTTCCTGAAGAAATCTAAAACATTTTACAAATTTGGTTTAAACAGCTTAGAAAAAGAACAAAACCACAAGTTTATTTACAAAAACATGACATGATTATTTCCCAGCACCACTGTACAGTAGCTTAGGACAGGAGTCTGGCTAGAGTTGCCCTAATATTAGAGATGGGTGGAGGAGATAGTCTTAAACTAGGGTTGCTTTGGTCTCAGAGACATAAGGTCACAGTCTGTAGGACAAGTGGTGGTGCTTTTCATTAATTCTATGTTTTTATGTGTGTGTGTTTTTATGTCGCTTTTTAGGTGCACCCTAATAGCAGTGATTATAACCTCATGTGGACAGGATCACACTTGAAGCCCTACTTGCTGCGTTCCCTTACAGATATTCAGAAAGTCAATCATTTCCCTAGGTAAAGCCTAGATACCAAGTTTTGCTGAATTTCTTTGTGATGGTTTGCAAAAATCTGAACCTAGATAGCTCTAAAAAAAAAAAATAGATTATACATGATACTGTAAAAGTCCCAACGCACTGGGCCTGTGCCACATGCTGTCTTTATTCTAAATGGTCTTTGGGGTTTTGGGGGGATAGTATGTGAGTTGAAGTGCTTGTCTGTAGCCCAAATAGTCGATTTTTTTTTTTCCCTCTTCATTTGGCAGTATAACTAAAAGGGCTTTGCATTCTTAGTTACAGAAATAGTCATTTCTCACCTGATAAAGTTTAAAACACCATTATACCACTTTGCTGTGCTTCAGTCTGTCTTGGGAGCTGTAAGAGGTGCTACAAATGAGGATGGATATTAATATGGCCATAGGACAGAGACAGTAAAACTGAAGAGTAGTTGCAGGTTATGGTTTAGACATTTGATGGGACTACAGATGCTTTAGTAACTAGGATGAGGGGTTGCTGTAATATGTGTTTTCTTATGTGGGGGGAAAAAAATAAATACAGTCTCTTGTTTTGGGACTTCAGGTCATATGAACTGACACGAAAGGACAGACTATACAAGAATGTCAGTCGTATGCAGCTGGCTCATGGATTCAAGACATTCCATATCTTACCTCAGACGTTTATCCTTCCAACAGAGTACCAGGACTTCTGCAGTAAGTGAACAGCTGATGATGTTCAGTAAAATAACTGGGTGGGAGGAAGGGAATTACTTTTGATATCCCAGCCTGTTGATCATGCCAGTGGTTAAGGCAACACGATTAGAGGAAACTGGAAAGACAGTGGAAAAGGCCCATAAGATTTCTTTATATGATTTCCACTCTACTTTTTACTACACGCCTGTGTGAGCCCTCAAAAAGCTGATGTGGGCTTAAGGCTCCAGAATTGAACCTTTTATTTTGGGCACAGTGTTAGTGAAGATCAACTTCACAATATCCCTGACTAATATCTGGGAGTACTGAAGAGAGAAGTGCCAAAAGGAGGCATAGGGCAGAGAAATTAATCTATCAGACAGGAGGAGGGGCTCAGGGAGCAGCCGTAATAATTGCAGTGAGTCCCACAGGGTAAAATAGGAGATCAATACAATAGACTTTGATCTTGTGTGGAGTTCTCTGAAGCTTTTGCTGTAGGTGACATTCTTGATTCTTGCTTTTCTGTAAATAAGTTAAATGGAAGGTGTTTCAGACTTGTGCTGTTTTATTTTAACCAGATACCTATTCTAAGGACAGAGGCCCATGGATAGTGAAACCTGTAGCCTCTTCCAGGGGTCGAGGTGTCTACCTGATAAACAATGTAAGTGTTCAGCAACAGGACTGCTCTTCAGCAGCACTGCCTGCAAAACTATGCCAGCTTCCAGACAAGGGGCATGGAAACATCTAACCAGACACTAGCTCTGCTCTAGATTTCATGCATACATTGGTGAGCAGCTCAACAGTCCTGAGCAGCTGGCAAAGCTTGCCTGGGCCTATGCTGCATAATCAAAAGCAATCTGTTTCTTTCTATGCTGTGCTTATCTTGCAAGCTGCTTTCAGCCCTTGGCTTATTAGGAACAGGCTCATGCTCCCTGAGACAGTCTGGGAAGCTGTGCTGCTTCATCCTTTCCTTGTGGCTGTTAGTAGGCTGGTATTGGGAAGATTTGCAGATCTCTCCTTAGTTGTTTCCCTGTGTGACCTAAACAGTCCTCAAACAGTCCCCTGGTCTGTCTCTTCCCCCTGGAAAAGACCAGTTAAAATGAAACCTTATGTGATACAGTAGGATGCTTATCAGTCTTAGAGCTGTGTTATCTAAATGCCAGTGTGTCCTTACTGGGGTGTAATGGGGATGGTTCTTTGAATTCAGTGTGCTGGTTATACTTTTTTCCCTTCCTGGGCTTTGCAAGGAGTTAGGTTGTCATAGGTAAAAAATACATCTGGGCAGGAGCCAAACACACAAGGGGATTCCAATAAATATTCTCAGCAGCAAAACTGACAGGTGAGTCATTTTGTTTTCACTAACTCAAACCCCTTTAGCCTCCCCTGCACTGAAGGGGTCATGCTGCCTCATCTGTTCTCTACTTGGATCATTTCCCATAAAATAAGGGAGCAATTTGCCAAGTATATGAGGTAAGTATTTCCAGAGCTGCACTCAGCTTTTTCTTTGCTTTAAAGAGAGGAACAGCTCAGGCTTGTATGGCAGTTGGCCATGAACTGAGGAAAAGACCCTTCTGGGACCAATCTCCCTTTGTGTGTAACTGTTCTAGAAACACTTCAGCTTTTTTGGCCCAAAGACTTCAGTTTCCTTCATTGTGATGCCATTAAGGGATTGTTTTCTAGAATTTCATCACAAAAGTGTTTAAAAACAACAACAAAAAGCCCTAACAAAACAACAAACCTCTGATCCATAATAAAACAGACTGTCACTTTTGTGTGATGTGCTGAGGGAAGCTGAGTTTGTTCCCTCACATTGTGTATGTGCGCTCTGTGTCGAAGCTTCCTGCTCATGATGCTGGTGATGTGGCTGAATACACACAAAATTGAATAAAGGCAGGATGACTGGATTCTCTTGGATCTTTTGCAAACTGAAGACAAGAAAATGTTTTGCGAGAAACTGTTTGTATAGGTAGTTAAAACTGGTTACAAAAGAGAGCCTTGTATACAGCATAAAGTAAAAGCTTTTTCAACAGATCTCATGACTTTGTGATGTATATTTGTCATAGATAGAGCTTTCTGTTCAGAGCTACAGGGACAGTGTCTTCCTGGTACAGTAGCCCCTGCTGCGAACTGAACCTCAGTATGAGGTATTTACTCATGCAGGCAAAAAGGCTGGATACCAGCCCAGGAGCTAGCTATAAGGATCACAAGTTGAGGAGTCATTTTCTTTGCTTGTGACTTCCTCACCAGCTGTAGTTGCATACTCCTTCCAGTATCTGCTAAACCCTTCCTCTATGTGTTTGGTTAAACACTCAACAAACAGAATGACAGTTACTTCTTAGATGTGCTTCTTTCCTGACTATTTTACATCATTGCATGTGGCTGTTAAATCTATATTCTACTGTAAGGAGCACTTAACTGGAAGATTCAATGGGCAGTGTTTTTGGAAATGTAATCATTCCCAGGCTTCTGCTTAGGCTTTAATTACATCAAGTATGTTGTAGCTGGCAGTGGAGGTTTTTTCATTTTGTTTTTGTTTCCTCCGTCCCCAGACATAGTTGTTGGTACAGAGTGGCTTTAGGCAGGAAAGGCTGGAAAAAATAGTGGGTTTGATCTAGTCATCACATTATACCTTAAGTCTCCTGTTTTTTCACTCTTGGATTCTCTGTTCTTCTGTAGCCAAACCAGATTGTCCTGGAAGACAACATCCTGGTTTCTCGTTATATCAGCAACCCCCTGCTCATAGATGGTAAGTGTGCTTAGGAATTGCTTTCCTCTCTTCTTCCTACCCCACACCTGAGGATCTCTGCAACCTTTGCAGAAATTCAGTTGAATAATTGAGTGGTCTGTCTTCCTCTAGTACTGGAAAAAGATAACTAGAGAATTCCTTAAAATCTGTGAGCTTTTCAAGGAAAAGCTTCATGTACCTGTCTGAGCAGCAAATAATGGTTTATTGCTCTCAGGGTCTGTTGAAATTCCTCAGCTGGATATGATGTCTGAAAGATATTTGCAGTCACTGACTTAACAACTGTGTTTCAGATTTCAAATTCGATGTACGCCTCTATGTTCTGGTTACGTCCTATGATCCACTTGTCATCTATCTCTACGAGGAAGGATTGGCCAGGTAGGGGGTGTTTCTTCTTTCTCAGCATACCTGCACTTAGTGATCCAGAGATGTCTTAGCTTGCTGCTATACTCGTGTCACAATAGCACGTGAGGGAAGTGCCAGTGAAGGAGTTCTGCAGAGTCTGAATATGATACTTCGTTGTGCTTTGTCCATCAGTTTTCTGTATATAGATTACAGGAACTTTAGTGAGGGACTTTATTACATATGTAATAAATAAAGTAAGTTTTCAACTCTTAAGGGTTGAATGGCCACATGCTGTCATTGGCATGTTCATTCTCAAGGTCAGGTTCTTCTTGAAACCTCTTTGAACTCTTAGTGCCTTCTCCATCCTCTAAAGTGAAGGGAATCTATCTTTCTCAGTTTCTGTTTAATCCTAAAGACAAAAGCAGTTGGAGACCTGTTGCTGGCTGTATTGGCCTTTGTTTTAATAATTTCAACTGCTCTTCTAAATTTTAGGTCAGTATTTCTCTTTTCTACAGTATCGACTAAGTGGGTTTAAACTAGTTCACTGTTCTTACCCTGCAAGATGTCAATTTTCTTTTGCATGCAAGTCATGAAAGATACTTAAGATTCCCACAGGAACACTTATCTACCAAAACCACCTGTTTTTCTTCATCACAGAAGTTTAGCTAAATACCTGTCTATAGTAACTAATAAATTTGCAATAGTCACCCCTCTGAATTTCCAGCAGACCAGGAACTTAACTGTAGTGGTGTTTGAGAAAAGAGCACTGTAGGACTGTCTTCTGCAACAGTTTTAATCAATGCTGAATCTGTTTTATAAGCACATCTGACGTACCCAGAAAGAATATCTCTAGAGTTCAAGCCTGCATGGCTCTGACTTAGGCATATATTGAATCCAATTTATCTTTATCCAAAGCAGGTACTGAATCCAAAAGATATATTAATAATGATCCCACAAGAAATATAATCCTTTAAATATCTTGTGATATGCCTCTGCCTGCAAAGATAATGTGAACAGATTGTTTCCCTAAAGGGGCACAGGAAAAAATACAGGTGACAGAGCACTGGAATAGGCTGCCCAGAGAGGTTGTGGAGTCTCCATCTCTGGAGATGTTCAGAACCCACCTGGACGCTTTCCTGTGTAACCTGGTGTAGGG